TTGTTCTCTGCATCTGTGTCTCAATTTCTGCCCTGCAAACCAGTTCATCTGTACCATTTTCCTAGGTTCCACATACATGCGTTAATATACGGTATTTGTTTTTCTCTTTCTGACTTACTTCGCTCTGTATGACAGTCTCTAGATCCATCCACACCTCAACAAATGACCCAATTTCGTTCCTTTTTATGGCTGAGTAATATTCCATTGTATATATGTACCACATCTTCTTTATCCATTTGTCTGTCGATGGGCATTTAGGTTGCTTCCGTGCCCTGGCTATTGTAAATAGTGCTGCAGTGAACATTGGGGTGCATGCCTTTCCCTTTTAGAGCACAATCTAGCCACCCCCTTTGCCAGGGTGCTCAATGATGCTTTGCAATTCCTTTTTTCCAGGTGGCCCTTGAGTGAGAAAGCTATTTCACATGGTCTTAATATTGTCACTGTTGTTGTTGTTTTTAACATCTTTATTGGAGTATAGTTGCTTTACATGGTGTGTTAGTTTCTGCTGTACAACAAAGTGAATCAGCTATACATATACATATATCCCCATATCTCCTCCCTCTTGCATCTCCCTCCCACCCTCCCTATCCCACCCCTCTACGTGGTCACAAAGCACCGAGCTGATCTCCCTGTGCTATGCGGCTGCTTCCCACTAGCTATCGGTTTTACATTTGGTAGTGTATATATGTCAGTGCTACTCTCTCACTTCGTCCCAGCTTCCCCTTCCCCCTCCCCATTGTTGTTTTTAATCACTTTGGTTGTGTTTTGGGTTATTTGTTTCCATATCTGAATACTGTTGTTTTATTACTCAATTATTAAAATTAATCTTGCTCCATATTATTCCATCATATCTGTTTAATCATTCCATTAAGAAAATAATTTCTTGTGTTGACGAATGTACCTACTGGGACTTTGCTTCCTTCCTTCCTTCCTTCCTTCCTTCCTTCCCTCCCTCCCTCCCTCCCTCCCTTCCTTTTTTTTTTTTTCTCCATTTTCCTTTTAAATGATTGAGTACCGAATTGGGTTCATTTCCCATAATGGTGAAGTTCACTGTGAATGGGGCATGGCAGGCATCCCAGTTACCTGGGCACTTTGGGAAACCAGAACAGACTTGATAACCTCATCTCATTATGTATTTTCTATCCTGGCAACCAAGAGTTACTATCTAATCAGGCAGAAAGTCAGATACCCTGGCAGAGGTGAATCTCATCGTTCGTATACATGGGTGCAGGAGGAGTTGGGTTGTTCTGCATTCAACTTGAGAGGATAGTAGGGAGTTTTTATCTTTCGAATACTTGCAGTTTGAAAATCTGGGGCGTAAAGTATGTCTGTTGTGTGTGCACAGATTCCATCACAGCGACTGTCTCTTCGACTTCTAGTCTTAAAGTGCTTCTTCCCTGTCTCCTCCAGGTAGAACGTCATGACATGAATACCCTAAGCCTTCCCCTGAACATCCGCCGAGGCGGGTCGGACACCAACCTCAACTTTGATGTACCAGATGGCATCCTGGACTTCCACAAGGTCAAACTCAGCGCGGACAGTCTGAAGCAGAAAATTCTAAAGGTCACAGAGAAGATAAGAATCGAGCAAACGTCCCGCGATGGGAATGTCGCAGAGTATCTGAAACTAGTCAGCAGCGCAGACAAGCAGCAGGCTGGCCGCATCAAGCAGGTCTTTGAGAAGAAGAATCAGAAGTCGGCTCAATCCATTGCCCAGCTGCAGAAGAAGTTAGAGCAGTATCGCAGAAAGCTCCGGGAGCTCGAGCAGAATGGGGCCCCCAGGAGCTCAAAGGACATTGCCAAGGACAACCTGAAGGACATCCAGTCCCCTCTGAAGGATGCCCAGGCCAAGGCTCGCACCGCTCCCCACAGCCTGGAGAGCAGTAAGTCGGGCCTGCCAGGGGTGTCCCTCACCCCACCCGTGTTCGTCTTCAGCAAGTCTAGAGAGTTCGCCAACTTGATCCGGAATAAGTTTGGCAGTGCCGACAATATCGCTCACCTAAGAAACTCCTTGGAGGAGTTCCGGCCCGAGACCAGCGCCAGGGCCTACGGGGGCAGCGCCACCATCGTGAACAAGCCCAAGTATGGCAGCGACGACGAGTGCTCGAGCGGCACGTCGGGCTCCGCCGATAGCAACGGGAACCAGTCGTTTGGGGCCGGGGGCACTGGCGCGCTGGACAGCCAGGGCAAGCTCACGGCCATCCTGGAGGAGCTCAGGGAGATCAAGGACACCCAGGCGCAGCTGGCCGAGGACATCGAGGCGCTGAAGGTGCAGTTCAAGAGGGAGTATGGCTTCATCTCTCAGACCCTGCAAGAGGAGACATACAGGTATTTCATGCTCTTCTCTTCACATTCTTTCAGGAGCACGAGTTACTACCTGCGGAGAGATTGCTCGAAGGCGATATGCTAGTGGTTGTATTTTCTGTAAATATGGATATAGGTCAAAAGGCATTTAGGAATCGATAGTTCTTTCCATACCTTGTGATTCTTAGTTTTGTAATTTGTGACTTGAAGCCTGACAGCTTAGAGAAAGACCTTATACATGTGGGTCTGTTAAAATATCACTATATAGTCGATGACTCGTGCATATTGAGCTCCTGATTCAGTAGGCTGCTGTTATGAGGTCTCGGTACACTAATTCGTAGATCTGTATTTGATTTCCCTCCATAATAACTGTCAAGTAAAAAACGAATTCATTGTCCAGCTAGGTAGCTTTTATTTGGTACATAAATCTTGAAGTCTTTATATAGTGTATTTTTTTATGATATTGTATTTTGCTCAGTAAACTTTTCACCCTAAATGAAGAGCTTTCAAAAGGAATCTTAAGATTATAAGTATAATCAATAATAAATTCAAATCTTGTGGATTATATTAGCTAATTTTTAAAGTCCGGTGTTGTGTAGGCTGGCTTTTAGGTGCCTCTAGCTTAACAAGTGTGTATGCCCAAGTATGAGGTGATTTTCCACCATTTTCCCAATAAAAATATGCACCCCCAAGTTTTTTTGTCAAATAAATGTTAACTTCTAAAAATGTAGATTAAAAAGTGAATGCCTAGGGCTTCCCTGGTGGCGCAGTGGTTGAGAGTCCGCCTGCCGATGCAGGGGACACGGGTTCGTGCCCCGGTCTGGGAAGATCCCACGTGCCGCGGAGTGGCTGGGCCCGTGAGCCGTGGCCGCTGAGCCTGCATGCCTGGAGCCTGTGCTCCGCAACGGGAGAGGCCACAACAGTGAGAGGCCCGCGTACTGCAAAAAAAAAAAAAAAAAGTGAATGCCTATTACATATGGTAAGAGTTAAAATTTAAATTTACTTTACACGTTTTTTTATGTGATATATGATTTTATATATGTGTTAATTTAGAGATGTGGCTTTTTTCGGCTGTCATATTTTATGAAATGATTTTTTAAAAACTTTCCACCTACATCTTTGACTTTGGATTCTTTGTCCCATAAGAACTGTTTCTGTGTCACAGTTTTTCCAGATAATATTGACTTTAATTCCATTCAGATAGTTTGGGATACAGCACCCTTTGGATCCCTTTATTTCAAATCACAAGTATCCGTTAGGACAGCTTTGGCTCTCATTTGTTATATAACATGTTTGTGATCTCCATGATTTGGTCACTCACTATATTACTTCCTTTAAGAGATCTTTATTTTTTTTTTTTTTAGTTTTTATTTTACATTGGAGTATAGATGACTAATAATGTTGTGTTAGTTTCAGGTGTACAGCAAAGTGATTCAGTTATACATATATCTATTCTTTTTCAGCTTCTTTTCCCATATAGGTTATTAAGAGTATTGAGTAGAGTTCCCTGTGCCATATAGTAGGTCCTTGTTGATTATCTATTTTATATATAGTAGTGTGTAGACATTAATCCCAAACTCCTAATTCATCCCTCCCTGCCACCTTTCCCCTTTGGAAATCATCAGTTTGTTTTCTAAGTCTGTGAGTCTGTTTCTGTTTTATAAGTAAGTTCATTTGTATCATTTTTTTTTAGATTCCACATATAAGTGATATCATATGATGTTTGTCTTTCTCAGTCTGACTTATTACTTCACTTAGTATGATAATCTCTAGGTCCATCCATGTTGCTGCAAATGTCATTATTTCATACTTTTTTATGGCTGAGTAATATTCCTTTGTATATATGTACCCTGTCTTCTTTATCCATTCATCTGTCAAGAGATTTTTTAAAGGCTTGCTTACAAAACACCAACATTGGGCACCTGTGAAGTCCTACCTGAGAAAAATCATTAAATCTATATTAAAGTGTTTTTTAAAATGATTCTATGAGGTGCCTAAGCGTCTAAAACTGGCGTTGATCGAAGTCATCCAGGCTAATGCGCCTTCCCCAAATAGTGCTTCCTGTTTCCAAATAAATATTACACGGTTTCAAATACAATACAAAATTCCCCTTCTCTGAGGGGATTGGGGGTGGGAATGGGAATCTTTGTGCTTCTGTTACTTTAGATTTGGACTTTCGGAAGTGCCACCTGATAAGCCATCTTTAATTTGCAAGAAGCATGATTTTTTAATTGACACTTAAGTCCTAAGAGCTGACACATGTATTCAGAATCACTATGTGCACTGGGAAATAAGTGGAATTGGCACCAGCATAGAAATCGGTCATTTCCTTACAGCCTCTCTGGTGCATGAGAGCTGTGGCCGTGAACCATTAGGCACTGTGGGGTCAGAAGAGGGAAAAGCACCAGGATGCCAGTGGGTCCTCGCCTTTAGCAGGATGACTGACAGCCCTGTCTCCTGACCAGCCCTGGTGAATGTGCCAGTGATAAGGCCTGTCCTGTTGTCCCCACAGCCAGACAAGGTGTTGGTCTGATGTGGGTGGAAAAGCCAGGTTTCGTTTGCATGAACCCTCAGCGGTGCGGACGGAGTGAAGACTGCAGAGACCAATCCTTTCTGGAGCTAGAGTTCAGTGTTTGCCAAAAGCATGTTCCCCACAGCTTGACTTACGTTTTTGGAAGCACAGTCTGCCTGGGGATGAGAACAAGCCAAGGGGCACTGGTGACAGTGAGACACAAAGGATGTCATTTTCTAAGTGCTGTCAGAACACCTTTGAAATGTCACGTTCAGAATCACCTCCTCTCTTTGGAAAGGTACGAGCGACTGGAAGACCAGCTACACGACCTCACGGACCTGCATCAGCATGAGACGGCCAACCTGAAGCAGGAGCTGGCCAGCATCGAGGAGAAGGTGGCCTACCAGGCCCACGAGCGGTCACGGGACATCCAGGTGCCTTTCCTCTCCCCACTAGAGCTTACATGGGCTCTTCCCAGCCTTTCATTCATTTAACAAACTAAGTGCATTACCCCCAAGCCCGAAGGGATTTCTGGCATGTGGAGCAAACATTTATTCTTCACCATATTAACCCCATTAGCTCATGTTATAGACATTAAGCTATATTCTGTTTACTTTCTGCCTGAATTAGTTAGCAAATATTTATTATCTACCCCAAGCCTATCACCGATACTCTACTCTCCCCACCATCACCACAGTTTTTACAAATTTTAAAACATTGGGTAAATCTTGCCTTCGACATGCTCGCCTAGGTGGAGGGTCAGAAGTAACACAACTGCCAGTTGGCTCAAGACAATGTGAACAAGGGCCAAATCACGTGACGCAGACTCTGAAAGCCTCAGAAATTTAGGCGTGCAGTGCCCAGCAAGCTATGGACAAGTGTGGCAGGGGTCCACTTAGTGGTCAGACACTGGACTTCAGTCCCAGCCATTTACCAGCTTCATGGTCCTGAGCAAGCCTTAAGTCTATTTGCTCATCTCTAAAATAATAGCTTTCATATTTGTGGGAATTTCAAGCAGTTGAGTGCATACCGTGTTCCAAGCACTATCAAAGCACTTTACATGTCTAATTTCCCCATCTGTTCCTCACAACAGCCCTCTGAGGTAGTTTTTGTTATTCTCTTAATTTCTCAGATGTGGAGACCAAGGCACAGAGAGGTTAAGTGACTTGACCAAGGTCTTGCAGATAATCCTTGAGTAATGAATGTGAATAAATGTCCTGGAGAAGGTGGGACTTGAAGGTGGGTGGGATCCTGATGGATGGAGGGAAGGGGTAACTGGATCAGTATAAACAAAGGCATGCTCCAGTATTAATGTGATACTAACGCTGTAGTGAAGCAACCCTAGGCTTCTTGAGCTCCTTTTTTTTAGGGGTACTAGAGGGTCTCTTTTCCCCCCAGTTTTTATTCTGATACCATTGACATATAATTGTATTAGTTTAAGGTGTACAATATAATATTTGGTATGTGTACATGTTGCAAAATTATCACCACAATAAGTTTAGTTAACATTCATCACCTCACATAGTTACAAATTTGTTCTCTTATGATGAGCACTTTTAAGGCTTACTCCCTTAGCAAGTTTCAAATATACAATACAGTGTTGTTAACTATAGTGACCAAGCTGTACAGTACATTCCCCAGGACTTATTCACCTTATCACTGCAAGTTTGTGCCTTTTGACCCCTTTCATCCATTTTACCTCCCTTCCCCTTTTAGATTCTGCCAGATAAGTGAGATCATACAGTAATTGTTTGTCTCTGTCTGACTCATTTCACTTAGCAAAATACCCTTTAGGTCCATCCATGTTGCTGCAAATGGAACTATTTCTTTCTTTCTCGCGGCTGCGTACTATGTGTGTGTGTGTGTGTGTGTGTGTACCTCATTTTCTTTATTCGTCCATCAGTGGACACTTGGGTTGTTTCCATGTCTTGGCTATTGTCAATAATGCTGCAATGAATATGAGGGTGTGGATTTCTCTTCTAGATACGGATTTAATTTCCTTCAGGTATATACAGAGAAGTGGGATTGCTGTGTCGTATTGTGGTTCTATTTTTAATTCTTTGAGGAACCTCTATAGTGTTTTCCATAATGGCTGCAGTGATTTACATTCCCATTGATCACCTTTTTAAAGAAAAAAACAAAAAAGTATACTCTCCCAGTCATGCTCAGCTTCAGTTTTACAAATTTTCTTTGTAGGCAGTGCTTATTTTCTCCAGCCCCACTTTACAAGGGGCTGAAACATAAGGAGAGATTTCTCCCACAATGTGTAAGCCAGACTTTTAGCCACCCACGTTTTGTTCCACACTGTGTCTAGGGCTGAGCCTGTGCTAATCCCAGACGTCTACTTGGACAATTCTGGGAGCCACAGCATCAGACTTGTTTGCCTCTGAGGACCCTGGTGCAGAAGACACTTGGGGGATTTCTGCCCCTGCTCTGGGCTAGGAGACTTAACTTCACTGCTGACTGGTTTAAAAAATGGGAACCCATTTAAATGTGAAGTGTTGCCAGGTGAACAGTGCAGTCTGTTTTATTAGAGCATTCTGTTTTAGAATACGTCTGGGATGCCACTAGCTGATGTCTAAATATATGGTTTTCTTATTTAGGGGATTGTTTGGGTTTATATTATTATTCCTTTTTTAAAGAAACATAGTTTAGAGATGGAGGGGTAAGATAAAGGGAGGGACTTCACAAAGAGAGCTTAAAAATTTAGAAGAGTTCATTTCAGCATTTTCTAGTTTCACCTTGTAGCTCAGAAGTGCAAAGAGGATGCCTGTGTGAGTGACTGGAGGGCCTTTCCTGTTAGGATAGTTAGAATCCTGGCTCTGCCTCTTACCGTAAACCTGCACACATCAGCACTGTGCCTCAGTTTCCTCATCTATAAAATGGAAATATTAATGAGCTCTACCTCAAAAGGCTGTCAGGAGGATTAAATGGGATAAGACATGTAAAGTACTTAAATCTTTACCTGACACATAATAAGCGGATAAAAATAAATACTGGCCAATTTTTGTATTTATTATGTATGAGTAGCCATATTTCTTGAGGCTTTTGGCAATTGGACCTGCTCAGCTTCCTCTTTATTTCTTGTTTCTTTTGTTCTTATAGGCAGGGTTATACAAGATGATGGAGTCGTATAGATGAGGGTGACTGTTGCCTATAGGGATGCAAGGGTTTTGTTGTTGTTTTAAAACGCAAATGAGTTTTTTAACCCTGAATTCTCAATTAGAAGAGTTTAAAGATAATCCTGTCCTCTGTCCTTATCCCCAATAAGTTAAATACTGGGCCCGAGGAAGTACTAAAGATTGTGGGGCTGTATATCTCTTAGTGGGTGCTGTGACCAAAATTCCTTACGAATTCACTGCTTAATTTTCTTGGATTTTCCTTTTGGTAAAAAATTTGACAGAAGTTCTAAGGCAGTTCTAGGATTAGTCTATTTGTATATGTAATTCATCGACCCAATCACAGATGAATGAATTTGCCTAAAATGTTGATCTTTTATCCTGTCCTATCACCTTTTCCATGCCATGCCTAAAAGAGAGGACACCATGGGCCTAAGTATTTGAAAAAAATGCATGATATTGGGGGCACTTGCCTGTCATTGTAGAAAGCCAGAACTTTTTAGAATGTGAGATCTGAAGAAGTTGTACCTTTTTTGTTGGTAGCCTGTGTAATGGAAGTTCCTATAGTAACAGAGAACCCTTGGCCCATAGAGTATGTTCAGCAGAAGGAAAGTAAATAAGTTTTGGAGCCATTATGCTCGTTTAAAACCTGAAAACATGACTGGATTTTAATTGAGCAAACATATATTGGTAAATGAGTTAGAAAACAGGCTCGTGAACTAAAAGGAGCTCCTTGTACCACCTCTACTTCGATCCTTTTCTCCCGAGAGGTGTAAGGTTTTTCTCTCTCAAGCCTCATATCCCATTACTGGCATCCAGTCTGGAGCATTCAGCCAGCACGTACCTCCTGCTGTGGATAACAGCGCGGTGCAGGTGTGGTCCCTTGGTCAGGGACAAGGGCCAGAGGGAGACTTGACATAGTCTGGTGGGTCCAGGAAGGCATCCCTCAGGATGTGACCATCAATGTGGGACCTGAAAGATGGAGGGGAATGGTGTGTGGGGAGGCAAACCTTTCGGGCACAGCACACTGTGTGTGCAAAGGCCCTGAGCATGGTCCTTTTCAGAACTTCAAAAAGCCAGTATGGCCAGAACACAGTGACGGAGGAGGGAGGAGGGAGGAGTCTTACCAGGTAAGCAAGGCAGGAGACAGTGGCTAGGCCTGGACCACGTTAAAGATTTAAAAGGTTCTACAAGAAGGAGTGACATCAGATATGCGTCCTTCAAAGATCACTTGGGCTGCTGTGTGGAAAGTGGATTCATGAGGTTGAAGACCAAGAGGGTGTGAAGAGAAATGAGTGGAAAGTTACTGCAGGTGGAGACCCTGATGACTGAGGTGGGGGGTTACTGTGGGAGGAGAGAGAAATGGACCAGTTAAGCTAAATACGAGATGTTGCATCGGAGGGGCCGGCTGCTGGATTAGATGAGAGGGGTGTCAAGGCATGCCTCTCATGTTTCTCACATGACAACTTGGTGCATCAGGTGCTGTTTTCTGAGAAGAGGAATTGGAAGGGACACGGTTGATGGCAGGAGCAGGGAAGGTGCAGACATGAATCCACAACTGGCCATGGTGCATTTGAGGTGCTTTTAAGAAGCTCAAAGTGGAGATGTCCAGGACGCATGTAGATACATGAGTCAATCTCAAGAGAGACAGCTGGGCTGGAGATACTTGGAGTCGTCCGTGTCTAGTAATCAAAGCCTTGGCAAGAATGAGATCTGGGGAGAAACTGTAGCTTCAGTTAGTGCCCTGGTAATGCAGCGTTCGAAGAGCAGCCATGAGAGCCCCACAGTCAGCCGGGCCCCATCCCTCCCTCCGTCCTCCACTGGTCTGTAACAGGTGCACATGGACTGAGCAGTGGAATAAGGACTAGCAGTTGGTGGGACTTCCCTGGCAGTCCAGTGGTTAGGACTCTGTGCTTCCACTGCAGGGAGTCCTGGTTCGATCCCTGGTCAGGGAACTAAGATCCCACATGCCGTGTGGCACAGCCAAAAAGAAAACAACAAAACGACTAGCAGTTGGAGATGTCACCTATCCCGTGACTGGAGTTAGTCACCTGTCACAAAACGGAATCCCACCCCTCTTCTGGTTTGTCCCTGATGGTTCCACCAGATGCCAGTATTTTATGCACTTTATTTTAAATATAGGTGGAGTCAAAAATACCTAACCGTAATTCCTCATTCATGGTATTTCATGGTTGTAGATACATGCGCGTTCTGTCTGTGAATGACAGGATAAAGTGAGCCTTGGGATTCTTGTCTTACTTCTCTGTCTGTCATCACCGTCATCATCGTTATCATCGTCAGTTCGAAGCTGCACAGGCAGCAGCATCCTGAGCTGGGTGGCCCTCGCGCACGTCCCAGCTCACGCTCACGTGTTGCTGGTGATCTCAACAGCATTTGATCCTCGCTCTCCCTCTCGCCCACAGGAAGCCTTGGAGTCCTGCCAGACTCGCATTTCTAAGTTGGAGCTCCACCAGCAGGAGCAGCAAGCCCTGCAGACAGACACCGTGAACGCCAAGGTCCTCCTGGGGAAATGCATCAATGTGGTCCTGGCCTTCATGACTGTCATCTTGGTGTGTGTGTCCACCATCGCCAAGTTCATCTCGCCCATGATGAAGAGCCGCTTCCACATTCTCGGCACCTTCTTCGCTGTGACTCTCCTGGCAATATTCTGTAAAAACTGGGACCATATTCTGTGTGCCATAGAAAGGATAATAATACCAAGATGAAGCCGCTGGTTCCTGTCCTCATGTTCTTTCAAGTTTTTATTTTGGAGAAAATTCTCTGCATACTACCAGATTTTAAAATGAACGTTGGTGCCGACGGAAGTTTACAAGGGCCACGGCTGCGCGTTGTAAATAACTGCAGTTCTCTTCTCTCGGTAGCACTTGTCAGCTGGGTCCCTGTACGTGGTTACCATGAATCTGTTTCCATGCTCTCACCACATTGCTCACTGCCTTAATCAGACCAGGCTTCCTGCCCACCTGCCTAGTCCAGCATGGTCAGCCTCTGGTTGCTGAGCACTTGGTGTGATTAGTGACCCAGAAGGGATTTTAAGTCTCTCTCTCTTAAGTCTCTGTCAAAATTGAGCTGCACTCTTCCTGGCGGTTGTGTTTTCCCCGCGTCCTATAAGCAGCGAGGATGTGGCATGACTTGGGGAGGTGAAGAAGCATAGGCGTTGCCCACGTGAGCACGTGTGGCCCGTGGAAGCACAGTAAATCCCATGTAATCCGCCCCACTGTTCACTGATGACCATAGGTCCCATGTGTGCCCAGTGTCCACAGTGGTCAGCTGTTCGTGACTCTCTATCACATGGAAATCTTATAACACACCTGTTGATCCATCAAAAGTCTAACTTAAGTGTTCGGTTTCTCTTTAAATGATAAGACATGAAGATTTATGAATGGGCCTTACCTTCTTATACCCAGGGAGCCGCACTCCTGATTTCACATTCACTGGTTGTCTTATGCACCACCTTCAAGGCATGTAGAGATGCTTCCAAAGCATCTTTAACATGAAATTGATGTCTGATAGGCACTACACTGGAGGTTTGTGTTTGGGCACATCTTCACTGTGATGCGCCCCTCTGCGATGTGATTCACTTTCTACGATTCGCTTTATTCAGTCTGTGAGGGACAGCAAAGCTTACTCAGTAAATGAAAAAGGATGCCCACGTTGCAGTGTTTTTGTTTCTCTTCAAGGACAACAGAATCGTAGCTTATAAAGCTAAAGTGCCCTGAGGTAGGTACACTGGAAAAGGGGAAGAAAATATGACATGTGATCTAACTGGGTGGCAGCTAGATGAGTGGGTGCAGGTCACCTGGATGAAGATTGAGGGAGGGTCCTCGTCAGACCTTGAAAGACCAGCAAGAATAAAATAAATTAGATCCAGTGTCTGAGCCAAGGTTGCCATCTCTCTCTTAGCGTAAGTTCTGAGGTAATACATGGAGTGGCCACACTTTCACTCCATGGAAAGTCAACGTCTTTGGTCTGTTTGGGGGATGCCATTCACTACCTTGAGCCCAGATAATATTTTCCTTTAGATCTGTTTCTCTGCATATATAACAGAAAGGAAGTCCTATGAGAATTTAATGGAAACTCTTGTTCAGCCCCTTCTCACCAGCTGTTTTGTTATCTGAAGGCATAAAGAAGCATGTTAGTGTACATTTTCTTCCAGAAAACATCAAATCGCCTGGATTTAAATTTTAAGTGTAATATTTTGCAAATAGCTGCTCTTAGGGAAATCTCCTGAAAAAAATGTGACATAAGCCATGATTTGAGGGAACGGAATAGTCAGGCGTTTGGTACAAGTCCAGTGTGGGTGAGGCTCATACAACTTAAGCTTGCTTTTTTTTTTTTTAAGTTTACAACTCAGTGGTGTTAGTCAATTCACACTTAGGCAACTATGATTACTATCTAATTCCAGACTTGAGCTTTTAAAAACAATAAACATCATTTCACAAAATCTTTGGCTTGAAGTATCTTGCATTCAGGGAAGAGGGAGTCACAGTCCCACCCCATCTCATGGCTGTGTCCCCTTTCACTGCCAGGCTCTCCCCTGGTCTCCCAAGTTGGCTGTAAATACACTGTGATCCATCCAGTCCAGGGGACAGAAACAGGTTGCAGATCCAGGGAAGGGAGAGAGGAGCAATGTTGTGCTTCCTTTTGCTTTTCCGTTTTCATGGCCAGCATTCCCTGTTGTCTGTGGGCTTCAGTCTCCATGTGGGCTGAGGGCCGGGTGTAACTTAGGCCCTTGAATCAAGATGGCTCCGGGATGGGCTCCTCTTGGTTTCTGTGAACATTTCTGAGGCGCTTTGGAGATGCCAGGGGGTAGGGCGGGTGTAGATGGCCGCTGGTAGTTTAGAGAGAAAGAGTGAGATCCCTGGCCCTTCCCTCCAGGTAGGCATGGGCCTCCTTCTCATGCCCCAACACTCTGCTCCGTCGCTCAGCCAGACCTGTGATCAGTGTGTCTCCTCCCCGGGGAGAAAGGTGGAGAAGAAAACAGAAAGCAACACAATTCACCCCCTCCAGGCTGGAGCTGTTAACAGAAGCTGCTTGAAACTGACTCTCTTCTGAAATACTGTAGGGTCTAAATCATCCCACCTGATCATGAATTTTTTTTTGTTTTTTAAAGAATTCATATTTCTGGTGATTCTCATTAGATTTCAGAAACCTTGTTTTCACTTGGATATGCTCAACCTACACAGTGTATTTATTTTAGAGTCTCACTGAAAGTTCTTGAAGCTTTTTAATAAGATGATATCCTCCAAGGAGACTTTCACCCTCCACAGTTTATTATTTTCTTCTTAAAGAATAAACTTTCCCACAGTTGCTGCTTTTCACTCCAAGGAGATTAAATAAAATGTTATAAATATACAATGAAAATAGTGCTCTAGCTATGACATACCCTGGAGTTGGATATTCAATATACGTTTAACGAATCCTCTTCCCCACCTTTCGTTGGCAGCCAGCGTCATGTGCGTACCTAGAGATGAAAGCCAGCCGTGGGGTGGGTAAGCGCCGGCTCCCTCAGCGAACTTAACTGAGTGGTTGAAGATGCTGGGCATTGGGCTCTAGCGCTGGATTGTTTGGTGCATGTTATTTTCATGATCACCAGGATAATGATAGTTTGCTGAGGACAAAACAGAAACCTAAGAATACTCTTGTGGGTTTTGAATTGGTTATTCCAGCTTACACTTGGAGTATGATTGAGTAGGAACAAAACATCCCCCCCACCAAAAAAAATTAAACCCGTAATGTAGCAGTAAATAAAAATGTTCCATTGCTGATTCTTTTTTTTAATAGATCTTTATTGGAGTATAAGTGCTTCACAATACTGTGTTAGTTTCTGTTGCATAACAAAGCAAATCGGCCATATGCATACACATGTCCCCATATCCCCTCCCTCTTGAGCCTCCCTCCCATCCTCCCGATCCCACCCCTCTAGGTCATCGCAGAGCACTGAGCTGATCTCCCCGTGCTATGCTGTTGCTTCCCACCAGCCAACTATTTTGCATTCGGTAGTGTATATATGTCAATGCTACTCTCACTTCGCCCCAGCTTCGCCCTCCCACCCCACGTCCTCAAGTCCATTCTCTATGTCTACCTCTTTATTCCTGCCCTGCAACTAGGTTCATCTGTACCATTTCTTTTTTTTTTTTTAGATTCCATATATATGTGTTAGCATACTGTATTTGTTTTTCTGACTTCACTCTGTATGACAGACTCCAGGTCCATCCACCTCACTACAAATAACTCAATTTCGTTTCTTTTTATGGCTGAGTAATATTCCATTGTATATATGTACCACATCTTTTTTTTTTTTTTTGCGGTACGCGGGCCTCTCGCTGTTGTGGCCTCTCCTGTTGCGGAGTACAGCCTCCGGACGCGCAGGCTCAGCGGCCGTGGCTCACGGACCCAGCCGCTCCGCAGCATGTGGGATCTTCCCGGACCGGGGCACAAACCCGTGTTCCCTGCATCGGCAGGCGGACTCTCAACCACTGCGCCACCAGGGAAGCCCCCACATCTTCTTTATACATTCATCTGTCAATGGACATTTAAGTTGGTTCCATGACCTGGCTATTGTAAATAGTGCTGCAATGAACATTGTGGTACATGCCTCCTTTTGAATTATGGTTTTCTCAGGGTATATGCCCAGTAGTGGGATTGCTGGGTCATATGGTAGTTCTATTTTTAGTTTTTTAAGGAATCTCCATACTGTTCTCCATAGTGGCTGTATCAATTTACATTCCCACCAACAGTGCAAGAGGGTTCCCTTTTCAGCACACTCTTTCCAGCATTTATTGTTTCTAGATTTTTTGATAATGGCCATTCTGACTGGTGTGAGGTAATACCGCATTGTAGTTTTGATTTGCCTTTCTCTAATAATTAGTGATGTTAAGCATCTTTTCATGTGCCTCTTGACCATCTATATGTCTTCCTTGGTGAAAAGTCTATTTAGGTCTTCCACCCATTTTTTAACTGGATTGTTTGTTTGTTTTTTTGATATTGAGCTCCATGAGCTGTTTGTATATTCTGGAGATTAATCCTTTGTTGTTTCATTTGCAAATATTTTCTCCCATTCTGAGGGTTGTCTTTTTGTCTTATTTATGGTTTCCTTTGCTGTGCAAAAGATTTTAAGTCCCATTTGTTTATTTTTGTTTTTATTTCCGTTACTCTAGGAGGTGGGTCAAAAAAGATCTTGCTGTGGTTTATGTCAAAGAGTGTTTTTCCTACGTTTTCCTCTAAGAGTTTGATAGTGTCTGGTGTTACATTTAAGTCTTTAATCCATTTGGAGTTTATTTTTGTGTATGGT